ACAGCACAAATACACTTCACCAGTGCTCTATGAATGGAACATGGCAGGCAAGCTGCCACTTAATTCTGAATACAGAGCTCAGCTCTCCTCTGTCAAACCTTTTCTGTGTTTGCAGGAGACGCTTCAAGACAGCTCACTTCTATGTGGGTAAAAGAGTTGACAGTATACTCTCTGAGACTGTTGATTCTGGATGCTCTCTGTACTGAACAGAATTCCCTGCACAAAATCATTACCTCATTTTTGCAGGGCTTAAGGGCAAAAAAACTAGGAGGAGTTAAAATGAGAGAGAGAATCCTCCTGCATGGCAACAAGCAGGGGAATCTGCGCTCTGTAAGAATGCAAACTTGAGACAGTGTGACCTCCAGTGCATCAAGACTAAACAGAGGATCAACCACTGGTATTAACTGCAGGTGACACCGTGACACTTAGCCAGGTGGACTTCAATATGAATGAAACAATTATCAAAGTTCAAATAGAGGGCCTTGATTATTCTCTTTTCTATACATTTTTTTTGCCATAAAAAGAAACTCACCCTGAGGATTGTTTCTAAAAGGCCTCTTCTTGGTCTCTTTTTTGACAGCTTGGACAATCAGCAGGAGGATGGACATTCCACTCACCATGAGCAACACCAGACAAATCAGGATAAGTGATAAAGACCCTGAAAGAAAAACAGAAGAGCAATACCCTAAAAAAAGATTCATGGTTCTAGCTGGATTTTCCACAGTTCCAGAAGTACCCCTGAACCTCACAGCCTAAAAGTCCCAGCTTTCAGACTAGCAAAAAATCTGGAATCCTGTGCACGTCTTACTGGAAGATTGTGCAAAATACAGATACGGCTTCTTAAAGAGGGTGATTTTACCTCCAATGAAATCAGTTTTGGGGGAAAACTCCTGACCAGCTCTAGTAAACAGAGATCAGATTTGGTCACTCCCTCTCCTTACCCCAGTTAGTCTCTGTGGAGCTGTTTGTATCCGAGCAAAGGAAAGGAATCACAGTGGGCCTGGATGGTGAGAGCATCGCAGTCGACGCGTTATTCTTGCGGTCAGTGGTGGAAAGATTCAAAGCAGGTGTTGCACTCTGCGAGGTAGCTGGCTGTGTGACATGGCTGCTGCAAACAGCATCGTCTGTTTTGGTCCCTGGTCGAAGGGTGTTTTTCCCAAGGCTGCTGCAGCTGGAGGTAAAATAAACCAGCGTAGTTTTTCAAACAGCTGCAGGAATGACTTCGTAAGTGATCTCCATGGAACAAGTGAGCAAACGTGAAAAACCTGGTTTTATTAATACCAACTCAGGCTTCACCTTTCCTAGATTCTACAGATATGCGAACAAGAAGCAACTTATCAAAGTTACTACTGGAAAAAAGCCTGACATTCTGTTTTTCTTAGCATCTGTACATGTAATAGCCTTGAAGCACAGCTGCATTTGGCAAGGGAACCTTTTGCTACAGAAACAAAACATGCAGACCTTTAAAGAAGGCTGAGAACACTGTTGTTACCACAGGTGACAAGAGAAAGGGCAGAAGGCAGGCAGATACTTCAAATCAGTACAGAGATTTCTCGAGGATCCTGAAAGTCAGGAGGAGCGTGGTTTCATTGCACCTACTGCACATTTCTCTACACACCATGATTTGGGCATCAACTGCTGCAGAAATAAACCCAAAATGTTGGTGTGAATGTGTTTGGATCGGTGATACGTACTTGGTCCAAGGTTGACAGTTTTCATTTCCCCCTACAGAATAAGACCCTTCAGGACATGGTGAGCATACTGGAAAGAAGGAAAGAGGCAGAATTTGAGTTCAGTGAACACCATAACTGTACAACAGCTACACAGCAATTACACCAATAGCTAACACTAGTAGTCTAGCTTACAGAACAGACCCAACAAAACCCACAAGGCCTCTAAAAAACACAGTCATTGGGTCAGAAGTAACACAAGACGCTCAGTGGTTCATTTTAGTCTGTAACTGGCAAGGTTTCCCATTTTCTCTACTGGCTAATTATGGATATTAACAAGGAGATCATTAAGATTTCTGACAGCTCAAGAATCAGAGCAACAGTTTGCACAACTACCCTGCTGCAACACTTGTCATTTGTCACACTGATAACTCTACACACCAGTTCTTACACTAGAAATGCCTCCACTTCAGAGCAGATAGCAGTTAAGAGCCTGGGGAGCCTGACCCATCAGTGACTTACCACTTCCCAGTGTATGGCTGACAACTGGCATGTAACCTGCAACACACATGCAAATCCTGTCTGAGGTCTTCTCACACTTCTTCACTTCCACGCTCCCCGTCCCTAGCAACAAGAGAACAAAAGGCAAATCAGAGACAAAAAAGAAGGGAAAAAAATAATTACTCGGTGCCTATCTGTGTAGAAACAACCGCAGAGGAAAGTTTATGAACAGCTCTGAAGACACCAGTACAGTACAGGGCAGTACAAGCCCGCTTCCCTTTGAAGGCTCTACCATCAGCACCAGCCAGGAGGCATCAGCTACTGAAATGATAACCAGTCTTTGGACTTGGCCATCTCAAGTGACAGGCCTTGTAACACCATCCTGTGAGGAGCACGCGAAGGATAAGAAAGCCTACGAAGACCGATTGGCTCCCAGATGTGTATCAAGAAACTACCACTATCCAGCTGACTTACAAGTGTTGCAGATTGTACAACTCTTGCAGAAGTTGTGGTTGTGTTCACTACTGAAGTATTCATCTTGACAGGGGGCACAGACCGTGTCTGATGTTGCAGTGCAGCGGTTTCTCATTCTTTCACCTAAGACGCAGAAGGAGGAACTGATGGTTATCAGAAAGAAACCCTCTTTATTTCACGCACTAGAATGAAAGAGAGCCCAGAAAGCGACAGCTCCATTTACAACTCTGGCTGAAAACACTCAGCAGGTTTAAGACATGCCAGAATCCCTAAAAGTTTAGGCCCGCAGCATCACTGTAAATTAATCAGCTAATTGGGCCAGCAGGGGACTGACGACTTGCTGACAGTTGAGACAATGCTTCAAATTATTTTCCCAGTGAATTCCAAATACCACTTCTCCAGACCATCTTTACATATGGCTTAGCCATCTCAGTTCACAGCCAGTGTCAGTTAGGAAAAAAAAAGCAGGCTTTTTGCATAGTAATAGGTGATAGTCTGATCTCTGCTGTAATACAATGGCTTTGTAACAGATCCTGCCTTCCCTTCTGAGGTAAATCATGCAGTTCATCCCAAAGTAATCCCAAACAGGTACAAAAACTAGCAGTGGATTTTGGAACAGGAGTCCAACGTGTCCCTTTGGTCTCAGAAGCTTCTCCCCATGCAGCACAGGCTGCAGGAGCTATAGACACGTCTATGTTTTTACTATCTACACAGCCAGGAAGAGACTATGAAGAAACAGCAGAATCCCCGACAGCAGCAGATCTGCTAACAACGCAAAAAACCCAACGGAAGTTCTTTAAGTGCAAGGAGGAGCAAAGAACTTTAGAGATAAGGAATTATCTGTATCTGCATACCAGTCAGTATGCCTTGCTTTAAACCGAGTTCAGAAACACTGAGATTTAAATAGTTTTGAGCCTCAAGTCTTAGATTAAAAGGTTGAGTTTATTCCAATTTAGTATCTTGGCAGACAATGCTACTGTATCAGTTCATACCATACCCGTTTTGTGTAGTAGACTTAATTACGAAGAGAAATTAATTATTCTGAAAGATGCACAAAAAAGATTAAGTTCTAACTGCATTCACAGACGTGATCTATGCTACCTCTAGGCACATACGTGTACCCTCCTTCCAGTACCATAAATACTGACTGTACTAAAGATAAGCCATTATGTTTAGGGGATTGTCCCTTGAGCAGCCCTGTTACCTGTTCATTGTTGTTACTCCTCATCACCAAGTCATTTCTATAACGAAATCTCAACTATTAAGTATATGAGGCTTGATATTTTGCATTGGTGCTTCTCAGTACAGCACTGCCTTCAGAGACGCTCAGATTGCAGGGGGGAAAAAAAACCACACATACACATGAAAAACCCCAAATTCAGCCTCATTCTGTTTCTGCAGTGAGAAAGGTGGAAATAAATACATTTCCTCTCCTTACGCTTTGCTAATCTCTGTCTGTGAATCAGGAGCACCTTTTCCTTTTTTTAAAAAAAGCCAAGTCTTCAGTAGCAAAAACCTCGTCACAAAAGAAAGCTTAAAACACACCTTTAGCAACAAGATAAATCACCTGAATTTTTCCATTATTATGCAAGATTTCTGAGGTTTTTTTATGTGACAGGTAAAGGACAGAACCACAAGCGCTACCGTCCTTTCTCAGCTAATTCTCCCACAATGAAAATACACCAGACTGACACACGAAGGAAAATGAACCACACAGAAGAAGTTAAAGAACACGAAGCTCTTTCAAAGAGGAGGATTTCTAAATGTAGCATGTTACAGAAATAATCTTCGTCTAAACTGATATGGAAGTCTCCTCACCAAGTGCTTCTTCTCCATGTTACGATTCATACATTTGCATGTTATTTCCATCAAGCTGTTTTCTACCACCTGCGGGTTATTAACTGACAGATATTAATCAAGTATAACCGACATCCAAGTATAACCAACTACTTACCAGGGGCACAGTCGTTGCAGCATTTATCACCGAAGGGATACTGATGTTCTCTGCATTGCAATCCCAAGCAATGGCTCACAGCGACTGCCAGCAGCAAGAAGAGAACAGAGAAATGGGAGCAGAAACTTACAGCTACCATAATGCAGCTCTTCTGTCCCAGAAAAACTGCGACGGCGGCAGACTCTTGGAGAAGTGATACTAAACTGCTGGTGGCCAGCGCAAACTCATATGCCAGTTGGTGGGAAATTCCCAGCATGTGCTCCACCCCCCCCAACCTTCCTCCCACACCCCGCACGCCTATTTTTTTCTTGCAGTTCACAATTAAAACATTCATAGACAGAAAGGCAGAGTGCTGAATAGCGTTATGAAAAGGTTTCTATTTATAGCCTTAAACCAAAGTGCCTCCAGCCAGGTACGTACCTCTCTATACAGTATTAAAGCACAGGACTTGAACATCGGGAGAGGGAAGAGATCATCCTTGTTGCTATGAAAAGAAGCATTAAAGCAATACAGAGGTAACACCTGAAAACCTTTACGGATGAGAGCCATAGGTAAAATGAAACATAGCCCACATAGGCTTGCTCCTTAAAAGGTGAAATCCAGATTCTCTCCCCTTGGTCGCACAGTAACAGTAGACCCGTGACTTTCACTGCTGCATAAAAACCAACACTTAATAGATTTCTCTTCTTGGGGATCACAAATCATCAGCCATCTCGATATTGCCCTCAGGAGCTAGCAAAAACTGCAGATGAGAAGGGTTTGCAGTCTCCATTTCACCTCTTGACATCGGACTCCCTGCATCACCACTGGAGAAAAGTAAGCTCCCGACTCCAAAAATAGATGGTTGGTGTTCCCTCCACCATTTGCTGTCATGGAAATAAAAAGTTTCCAGCAGAGGCGCGCTCTATGAAAGCAAAGGATGCGATACTCACGGACCAGCTGCTTTTGATGCCTATTTCGTCCCACAAAAGCATGTTAACACTGGAAACCAAACGCCAAAAAGGCTTCTCAGCAGCAGGCCAGCAATGGAAGACGCTGAACGGTTCACTGGCATCGCAGTCCTGCCCTCGTCTACCACAAGCATGTGGAGAAAAAACAGTGATCACACTAGGAATTAGTGGGTTTAACTCTCCAGGCTCACTATTAGAATTTCAGTAATTTGGTCTTACTCATCTGGGATCTAAACTTTAGTTCTTTCAGTTTTAAGAGACTTGAGTAACTCTTACGCGAAGGCCCAACTAAAGACAACATGCTACAGTAATCAAAGATGGTTTATTTCTACTAGTTAAAAAAACCACAGCCAGACTTACCAGAAAAAGCAGATCTACAACCAATTTACATCTGAATGCAAAGGATATCGGATTGGAAGAGATGTACATTTGAATTCCAATTAGCCTGCGGTTTCTGGGAGGACTGAACAGCAATAGTGTTGACTGTTTTATCCAGAACTGCTGCTTTCTATTTCTTTCTGAAATCTGTGAGACTGTTTATGAGTGGAAGGGGAAATAAAAGTGAGGCAAAACAGGAACTATTTTTCTACATGTATTTGCCAAGCATTTTGGAAAACAACTGCTATGGAAAAGAAGTTATACCTTAAAGCCATGCTTTCCAAAAGGCAGCACAGCTGACAGACCAAGTAATCCATAGCAGCCGAACTTCAACCACCTTCACACTCCTGCACACAGGAAATACCAGATCTCTTCCCACTGCAGTATCACGCTCAGCACCTCATGACTCAGTCATTCCCTCAAGCAGCATTTAACCAGCTTCTTTTTTCCCTCAGTTCTCTTTCACAAACAGCAGCAGACTTCACCTATTCTGTAACTCAATTATTCAGTAAAAAACCTGAAAATGCAACTTCCTATGACATTCACAAACAAGGCAATGTTGATATCCTGCTATATACTTGTGAACTGAAAACTCCCAAAATACTAGAGCAGCGATGATGAAGCATTGATATTCTTAAGGATACTTTAATACCACTTAAATGCTCATTTAATAAAAGCAGTTAGCCACATACCATCTTGAGAATTCAGCTTTTACATATGGCATCCTTAAGTGTTCCCAGGCTCAATACTCCTCTGCGTGATTACTTTTATCATATTCCTTTACCTGGCCGTATTATGCAAGTAAATAAAAGAGGGAGAGAACAGAGCGATCATCCCACAGCATTTCACATGCAGGACACTCCTTGGCTGGATTTGCACTAGTGCAAAATAACCTCTCCTGAGCGCTGCTTGGCATTACCATGGGGATCACACGTGCCACAGGCTGCTCCCAAAAACGCAGCCTGGTTGCAGGAGGAGAGGAGAGCTTCAGAGTGGTGAGTTGAGTCAGGCTATGGGTCAGAAATAAGAACCGGTTCCGCTTTTATTTCATATATATATTATAATTTTTCATTATAGATGCTTATCCTAGATATATTTCCCTATACAAGAAACTTGGAAAGATGAAACATGTCCATGAGATAGCAGCACTCAGATACCAAGTCCTGTTAACAGCGGGCAGATGGCCTGTGTACATGAAAAAAACCCCCCAAAATTAACAAGGAACTCATAACTAATGCTTCATGAAAGGCTTTAAAGAAAAGGTCACTAGATTCCTTCAGGATTACAGGCAAGTAAGGGTTCACCTAACGGAAAGGACCTTCAAGAATCCGAGAAAGACTGAGTGCATATAAAACACTTAAAGCCTTTTTAAAACTAAGCAAGTCTATGGACGAACTGGAATAGTCTGAACTTCTACAATTCCAAGACAGGAATAATCTCATGTACCTCCAAATCTCACCATGCAGTCCAGTTTATCCTTACAGCTTAGTTAACCTGCGATCCTGATCTCTGGCAGAGAAAAACAAAACACATTCAGGTGCAGAACTCCACGCATACATTAAATATTAATTTTTTGCAGTTGTTCAAGTTGCAGATTCATCAGGTGCGTGGCAAATACTGCAACAACAGTACCTGCCCTAACAGTTTTCCAGTTGCCAGCTAAATATTGTGTTACCTTGGATATTTCAAGGAACTCCACGCTCACATGATCAGATTAAACCAAGGCTGCATATGCATAATGTTTGCCTCTATTGACACAAAGTTTCATCACTGTATTTCAGCTGCTCAAGCACATTTTCAGACATGGGATTTTGTTTTTAAACATCTCTAGGT